GGGCACAGGGAGGGTGGGGTGGACACAGGGAGGGCGGGGTGGACATGCTCGACAGCTGGGTGACCTCTGCTCTGATGGAGGTGACCCTCATACTCCAGGCTGAGGGTGTCCTAAAGCAGGGTGCTTAAACTTTCAAGTGCACACGAAGCTTCCCCTTAAAATGCAGATTCTGGCCCTTGCCAGTGTGGCTCAGTGGGTTGGGCGCCATCCCGTGCACGGAAGGGTTGCTGTTCAATTGCTGGTCGGGGCACGTGCCAGGGATGCGGGCTCTAGCCCTGGTGGGGGCGTGCGGGAGGCACTTCACTCTCACATCCATGTTTCTCTCTCTCCCTCTCCCTTCTCTCTTCTAAAAATCAAAAATTATTCCTTAAACATACAATAAAAATAAAATGCAGATCCTGATCCAGTAAGCCTGGGCATGGGGGGGAGGGGGAGTCAGATTTGTTTTTCTAAAAATCTTCCAGGTGAAGTCAATGCCTCTGGCCCAGCGGCGGCGCTTGGAGCAGCCAGGGTTTGAAGCAACGGCTGGACAACTGCGGGGCGTGTGGGAGACACCTGGGGCGATCACTAACGCGCAGGCGACAGCCGGGCCCCTCTGGGAGCTCTGATTCAGCGGCTCTGGGGGAGGGGGCCTGAGGATCTGTGCTTCTAACCAGCTCCCAAGTGATGCTGACGTTGCTGGTGCCGGGGCCCTAAGGTAAGGGTCTCAAACTCAAGTGACGCAAGTGAGAGGAGAGGGCTGGGTGGGGCTGTGGGGCTTGGGCTCTGGGAGGAAAGCTCTCAGCCCCGGCTCTTGAAGACCTGCGTCAGGCTCGGGAGGGGATACCCCACCCAATTCCACACTGATGTGGGGACCCCAGGCCCTCAACATAAGATGCGTGGGCTGGAACCCCCCTCTTCCACCCCCTGGAGCCTCTTGGCTCAGCCAGCTGAGAGGATCCCTTCTCTTTGTTTTTAAAGCTCCCAGCTTGAGGGAGGAAAGAGAGGCGAGGCGGGCTGGGGAATTAAAACTGTCTGAGCCTGAGATGAGGGGCTAGGCCAGGAGAGAACCCCTGAATGCCCCAGGAGGCTGGTGACGCCCCCCCTCACCCCAGGTAAGAAAGGGCCTGGTAGCCAATGCCTGGGCTAGAGCCCCAGCTCAGTCTGCACAGGGGCCTCTGCCCCAGGCCCTCCTCCCTCCCGGGGATGGTGTTCCCACCTGTGAAATGGAATTTCACGATGGTTACGGCCACCTTTCCTCCCTCCTCGGTGATT